AGCTCAAGATATTATGCAACAGCAGCAAGAAGAACATTTTTCTTTTTGGTAGTCATCCCACAGGTTAGCTACACTGAACATGGATACTCTGGTCAGCTGTTGCCAGCTACGGGAAGGCTACCATAAGTTTACATTCTCTTCAGCCTTCTGATATGCCTTCCATTGGACTTTGCACACATTTCATCAAAAACTGAAACAATCTTCTCATTTCATTTTTGTTCCCTTGTTTTTTCTGATGTGGTGGTTCTGTTGCAGTGCCACATGTGAGGGGACTTCTGCAACACTGCTGGGAAAGGGCAGCCTGAGCAATGCTCCTCTGCACCTGTCCCAGCGCTCCCCTGCAGCATCCCCAGTGCTCCTCGGCAGCTTTCTCTTTTGGAGCCCAAAGGCCAGACTCTCCTGAAGCGCTCGGCTTTGTGGTCAGATGAGTGTTAATGGCCAGCAGAAACAAAGTGTCATTCACTTACCTCTAGGCTGCATATGGTCAGTATTTACAGATAATAACCAGACTAGAGTTAACACTACCAGTGTTAACCTACTTCCCATGAGCGTGAGTGGGCTCTTCAGCCTGGAGAAGAGAAAGTTCCTGAGAAACCTCACAGCAGCCTTCCAGTAACTAAAGGGGCCTGCAAGAGAGCTGGAGAGGGACTTTTGACAAGGGCATGTAGTGACACTCTCTGAAAGACAGTAAGTTTAGATTAGACATTAGGAAGAAATTCTGCCCTGTGAGGGTGGTGAGACACTGGAACAGGTTGCCCTGAGAAGCTGTGGATGCACCATCCCAGGAAGTGCTCCAGGACAGGTTAGATGGGGCTTTGAGCAACCCGGTTTAGTGAAGGTGTCCCTGCCCATGGCAAGGGGGTTGGAACTACATGATCTTTCAGGTCTCTTCCAACCCAAACCATTCTGTGATTCTGTAAAGTCTCAGCAGATGTCCAGCCCTTGGCACAGATATCAGTGCGTGGTGCCTCTCTGAGGTGCCTCTCTCACCTGCTTTGGCAGCCTGTTCAGGGCAGTACGGGGCTCCCTGGGCACGAGGACACACAGTTCAGCACTACGAGCACATGGCAGAGTGAAGGCAGCTACATGGCACACAGGTACCTGTCACTCCAGAGGTTTGTTCTTTCCGTACCCTTACCGAAGTATTCTCGCAACAGATTTTCACTAGCTAATTCTACACTGTTGATAAGACTGCATCAGATAAAGAAAGATATAATAGAGTCTGGAGAACTAAAATGACCATTTACAGTGTCTGGCAGGTGCTCTTCAAACTTTTGGCTCTAAGGAGGACATCAGGGTTGTTATTCCTGCCTGATAGGTCTGTGATATGCAACCATTTTGCTGTGTCCACCAAATTATACAAGTTTTTCTTTTCTTCCCCCCCCACCAGATGAATCCCATCAATTAATTATTTTTCCTGAAGATATTTTGCCAGCATAGCATTTACTGTGTCCATGTTGGCAGAACACATAAGAGTTTTCGAAACCCAATGTGTTATTGTTGGTGCTACGTTACATAAACCACAAACTGATTAAGACCCATGCTATGAGTAGTTAATGGGTCTGTTCCCAGTCATCTGACATCTGGAGAGATGATTTTCATATTACTGAGCCAAGTGTGTGAAGCATTCCCTTTTCCCCAAAGCTATTTCTTAAAGAAATGGAAGCACAATTGTAGGCTGGCATTGGGCAGCAGCAAATGCGGTCGAAGCAGAATTCTGTGGACAGAGAGCGCCATCTCCAGCTACTAAATCATAATTACTCCACGGTAACAAACCAACTAATTTGGGATTTCTCCTTTGGAATTGCCACCTATTCTGAAAAAGATGAAGAAAAAGCCAGTTGAGGCTGATTAATCCTATCTTAATACCCTGTAGGCAGACTTTGCTAATCCTTGCTAAAGTTTCCGAGCTAAACGAGTTAAAGCTGCTTAAAACTGCATGGAGATGAGCACTCAAATTTGTTTCTTTTTTTTTTAGGCTCCTTAGTCAAGAATAAAATCATGATAGAGGTAAAATTTGTACTATATTAGCATCCTCCAGCCTACAGAAAGTCTGTGTTTCTAATATTCCACATGTTGTATTTGATAAGTTCTTGAAAAACCTCATAAATGATACCTCTAGTACTGCCTCAGAACAACTGGGTAGCAAACCAGTGTCAATAAGCAACATGCAAAAACAGCACACAAAGTGCACTCAGAAGAATTATACACATGCAAATGTTACAAAACTGACAAACACTAAAAAATACACTACATAAATACTACACAAATACATTTTATATAAATACAAATATTACAAAATACTAAAAATATTACAATTTTTATAAACCCACAAAAATGATATAAATACCTAAAGAAAATAACTACAATGGCTGTACTAAGTGTAATATTTTGTGTACATTTTATCCCATATAAATGGTACATATGTTAGGGTATATTTCTAAAGAAATAAATTTTGCAAAAAAGTCAAGATGTTATTTATAGTTGATGCCCAGAAATTCTTCTCTACCACAATGTCAAGTGATGTTGTGGCCATCCTGTTGCCCATCAGTTTTCTGTACTAAAAAAACCCTACCTTAAGGACACCAGTGGCAAAGCATTTGTCAGACAATAAAACTGAAAGTCATTGCCTCCTCGTGTGTGCTGTAGAAGACTTATCCATATTGAAGAATTATTAAGGGATTTGCAAAAGCAAACGGATTTAAAGGGCTATGAATACTAAATATGTACATTGAATAGATATATTCAAGAAGGGTTAAAAGACAAAGCAGCCTTAATAGTGCTCCTAAACTAGATACAGCATCTTATTTAAAATGCAAATTATTAACTTACTCTGTATTATTTTTATGACTGAGTTCAGAAGGCATTTTTCACAGTTGTTAAAGAAAGGCTACAAGACCGAAAGAAAGTTGATGAAGCTCTATTACAGAAACCTGTAAAGGACACAAAGGCAATCAAGAACAGCTGGCATTGATTTATGAATTAAAAATCACAGTTGGCCAACCTGATTGCACCCTATAATGGAATGGCTGGCTACACGGACAAGGATGGACCAGCGGGCACAATAGATCCTGATTTCTGTACAGGGATTGAAATGATTTCCTGCAGCACTTTCACTCACTTTCTTCCAAATTGAGGAAAAGTGGCATGAACAAGCTGTTTGCTAGATGCATTGAAAACTGTCTAGGCTGACGGGCTCAGTGGGTGGCAACTGGTGGCTTGGCAATGAGCCTGAAGGCCCATAGCATGTTCAGTGCTCTAGGGGTTGATACTAGGATATATATAGTGCATTGTCTTCATCAAAAACATGGACCACGGGATAGGATGCAGTCTCTGGCTATTTCAAGACAACATCAGATTAGGAGGGGTGGTTGATACACTAAACAGTAGAGCTTAAGTTCTGAGGGACTTTGAGAATCTTCAGGACTGGGCTGACAGAAGCCTTAACATGCTCAACATGGAGAAACACAAGGATAAATGCTCAATCCCGGATCTAAGGCTGAATAAGCCCTTCCATTGGTAAGGAACTGGGAAGACACAGGCTGGCTACCGGCTTCATCAAAAATGACCTGGGGTTATGTGAAAGCTGAGTCCAACATAAGCACATACTGTGCTCTCATCCCACAGATGGGAAATCACACAGTAGCCTACATTATGAGCATGGACAATGGGCTGAGGAAAGTTACTGTCCCCCTTTGCTTCGTGTTAGTGAGGTGCTGGCTGGACACAGGGCCCAGTTTAACCTTCCTCATGATCAAGACAGGGCAGCTTCAGTGAACACTACCAAGACAATCAGGATCTAAATCACATCATCTTGAAGGAGATGTTGAGGTATTCTGGGACTGTCTTGCCTGTTGAAGAGTGTCAGGGATCATATAACAGCAACATTTAATTACTTGAAGGGGGATTACAGATATGGCAGAGCTAAACTTCCCTTGGTAGTGGTGTGCAATACAACAGAAAACCATGGGCGCAAGTGGCTCAGAAGGTCCAAAGAAGACGCTATGAAACAAATTATTTATGTGGAAGGTAGTTAACCTGGACAAGCTATGTAATTTTTACTTTGGATGGCTTCAAGAACTGTCAAGAAAAAACTGCAACAGATGTGATTCACTTCAAGCATGGAAGCTGGACTGCAATACCCAGAAGACCTTTCCAACTTTATGGTTGGAAACTGGTGTAAAGGTGATGACTTTCCTGGTCTAGAATTCTTGTTTATTGTTGGAAGACAGCCTTAAAATGGTCACCAAAATAGTGCCTGGACTTTATTATTAGAGTTTAAGCACATGCATGAGCAAAAGTAAAAATACTCGGCCATCTGTTGATATCTGGCAAACTGCAGAGGTTGTTTTCTGAAAACAGACTATTTCAACACCACATTTAAACCATTAGTTGCTATTTCAGTTGGCAACATAAAAATAGCGAAGAAACGCAAGGTATGTTGAAAATCCACCAACTGACAAGTAATTTGGTGTGTTATGTATTTAACTTGTAAAAGTGGTGGAAGTGCCTGCAGCCAGACTCCGTGAGTCCCCAGAATAACTTAAAACTCGTTAGCAACTCTGGTAACCACCCTATCTTCTGTGAATAATGTACCTGAGTTTGCAATATCTACCTTTCTCCTTTTTTTTTTTTTTTTTTTCAAAGTATGGTAAAGGTCACCGAGATGCTCAAGTTTTGGCTGCAGTATGAGCTGCCTTCCCCTCCTCCCCGCCGCACCACGGGAGAACAGAGGACGAGCCGCCCATCTCCCTTCCCCTCTCACGGCCCGTGAGCAGCCCGGCTTCTCTTGCTGTTTTCCCGTCGCAATCGCAGTCCGAAGCATTCTGGTTTTTCATGGATCCCCGAGGAGGCAGAGCTCCGGGAGCGCTGTTCCGCCACACACCCCGCAGCCCACAGACACCGCTTCCCTACCCCCCGCCCTCCTCACAGCGCCCGGCTGGGCACGGGGCGGGCAGCGCGGCACCGGCCCGGCCGCCGCTTCCTTCCGCTCCCGGCAGGACGAGGAGGAGGAGGAGGAGAGGGAGGAGGCGGGGGCTGCCGGGCGGTGGATGGCGGCGAGCGGCGGGGCCGGGCTCCTGCCCTTCCTGCGCCTGCTGGGGCAGCTCAAGGTGGGCGCGGACGCTGTGGGGGAAGGGCCCGGGGCGGCTGCGGGGGCTGCCTGGGTGTGCGTGTGCCCGCCGGCCTCCCGTGGGGCGGGTTTCTCCGGCAGCCCGGGCAGCGGTCGGTGGAGGCCGGCGGAGAGCCGGGGCCTCCGCCCGGGGTGTGCGTGGCGGCCCCGGGTCGGGCTGGGGCTGCGGCGGGGAGAGGGGGGCACCGGGAGGGGCAGGGCAGAGCAGGGCAGGGCAGGGCAGGGTGCCCCGGCCCTTGGGCTGCGGCTGGGCCGTGCTCCTGGCCGGGCACAGCCTTGGGCGGCCCGGTGCTGCCCGCTGGGGCAGGTGTTTCCTGAAGGCATCGGAAGGCTCACCGGCGCATGTAGGTCGCGGTGGGGCGAAATTTCTGCTGCTCTCTCTGCAGAGAGGTGCTTCAAGTCCAAGGGTTTTAACGTTTATGGTGCCACGGCCTAGGGGATGTGGTGGTGTCCTGCCTAAGGTTGGATTCCGTGACCTCCGAGGTCTTTTCAAACCTAACTGATTCAGTGATTCTGTGATGCTCACACAGAGAGTACCACGGACGGGATGGGTGTACAGGAACGTGGCGAAGCCGGAGAGCGTATCCGATCACATGTACAGGATGGCGATGATGGCTTTGGTGACTGAAGACAAAAGCCTTAACAAGGACAGGTGAGGAGACTGCATCTGGTTATCGTGGCCATGTGCCAATGTTGCAGGAGAGTTGCAGACAGAATGCTGAAAAGAGCTGGCGTCCTGAGTAAGAACTTTTAAAACACACTGAAAGAGTTTGAAAACCCTTTCCCTCTTTTTTTCCCTCCATCCTTTGGACAGGGTGCTGTTTACCTGGAGAACTGAAAGGGGCTAAAAACTTCTATTGCTAGACTGCGAGTGCAGAGGCAAGTCCTTAGCGCAGAGGCTCTGAGCTGGCCTTCTCTCAAGCCATAAGTAAGTAAGCAAGCTGAAGACACTTGTTAAAGACAGTCTGAAGCAACAGACAGCAAGGGCAAAGCCATTCATCATATGGATTTTGACTGAACTAGCACTCAGCAGCAGTTAAGAAGCCTCAGAAAACCTCTAGCACAGTAGGGAAAGCTTCATTATTGAATGAGTTGTCGAGTCCAGTATGGGATCATGCTTGCTTTGTCCCTTCAGAAGCTGATGTGAAGGCTTTTCTGAACATTCTGCTGCAGACTGGCATAGCCACAGAGCTGTGAGGGTCAGATTACATAGTGAATGTGAGATGGTTCTAATCAGATTACCTTCTACCTGTTGGAAGAATAACCTGAAGTATATAATATAGTTAAGTATCACGGCATTTCTGAAAGCCAAGTGTACAAAAGCTAAATACATGACTTTGGAATGCTATGCTCTGGTACATGGTGTATTTATACTTAAATATGTATTTACAAGCAGCAAGAGCTAGAAATCAGAAAATAAAAACATGTCTAGGTGGAAACTACTTCTCTTGGCAAAGAAGTGAAAAATGTAAAGTTTAAAAAAAACTCCAGCCAACCTGTAGAATATAGGAAGGGTATAAATTCTGTCATCTCTTAGCTTTGTGGATAACAAGATATAACTTAAAATGCTGAAAAGGTAATTATTCTGTCTTTGCTTCTTGTCAGATGCATACGATTAGCTTTGGTTCATGATATGGCTGAGTGCATTGTTGGAGATATTGCTCCTGCAGATAATATTTCAAAAGAAGAGAAACACAGGAGAGAAGAGGTATGGACATAAGGCTTGAAGCCACACCTGCAAAGCATTCTGTATGTTTTTAATGGTTTGGTGAAGGGGTACTAAGCAATATAATACTGTTGTTGGGATTACGCAAGTCTGCGATAACCAACTACAGTTTTCAACTCATTGTGATTTTTGTATCTGTAACATCACCAAGTACATAGTTATGGCAGGGGAACCTTTGAAATAATCTTCATCTTGGGCATTTATTCCCAAACTAATTTGTAGTTTTGGTAACCTGAGCAAGTCATTTCAGCAGCCTTACCAAAAGGTGGAGAGCGGGGAGTGGGTGCACTGACTGGGATTGATGACAGTTCATGTCAGATCATATGTGTGGTGTCCAGATCGTGCAGCTGTGACAAAGACTTTATTGAAACCTTTTGCACAGGACTCCAGACACAGGTGTCTTGTTTGTTTTGTTTTGAGTTTTTGTTTGTTTGTTTGTTGGGGTTTTTTTTAGGGTTTTTTTGTCGTTGTTGTTGTGAGTGAGTGCAGCATGCCTGGAGTTACTTTATTTTTGGCCTTGTACATATCCAAACTGTTGGTTTGTCGTTTCTGGTTTGTGGCATTATTTGAAGAAAATGTAAACCACTTCTGTAGCCACAGCTAGAGGGCAACATGTCGCCTCAGAAACTCACCTTTTTGTTCAGTGTAAGAACATGCTAGGAATTACACTTCATTACAATGAAGTACCGCAGTTACAGTCAGTAAAGATATTACTTCAACAACACCAAATACGAATAGATCTGTAATTTCCACTTTCTTAGCAAAAAGCTTACTCCTAGAGTTAGTCATAGTTCCCCTAATCCCAAGTTATAAACAGATAAGCATTAAAGAGGGAGGGGAATAATCAGTGAGGCATTATGTTAACATTCTTTGAAGAGCTTCAAAACACTGAACAGAAAAAAAACTTTCCTGGAAGCCTCTGAAGGTTGTTGTGTCACTGAGAATCAGACTTCAACTTTTGTCTAGAGAGAATTCTCATTTGAATATAGGCAAGGAAAAAAATATTTTGATGCCTAAGTATGTTTTAAAAGTTTTCTTGAGTATTTTCAGCTCCTGATCTCATTTCACTTGGTGAGAACTTTGCTGTTTACTTTGTAGGAAGGAGGGTAAAGCATTAAATATTTAGGATGATTCTGAAATACTTTGAAAAAATACAGCAAGGGTGGCAATTTCAGGAGGTGGCTAGAGGGGAATTATCAATATTCTGCTTCCACTGCAAAGTTCTTTTTTCCCCTTTGCTCTACAGCTGACGTTGGTTCTGAAGTTTGCAGCTTGTGCAGTAGTCTAACCAGTGAGTCTTGTCCAAGGCTGAGGCAGCAGAAAATGAACTTGATTTAAAAAAAAAAGTTTGGGTTTTTTTGAGGGGGAAGTTTTTTGGGTTGGGTTTTTTTTTTTTTGCTGGGCAAGTCATTTTGGCCTGCTAACCTTGAATTCTGATGAGCTCCGGAGCTGGAAGGAGGTGGGAAGGCAGAAGACCTTGATGCTTCAATGGTGGGGGGCAATGAGGTGCAGTTGTGCAGGATTTTTTCTCCCCCTTCTTAAATATGTTATTCCAGTTATTCCACCACTACTTGGCCAGTGCTGTAGCCCCCTTCCCTCCCCCCCAACAAAACCTTGCCATGCCAGCACAATACAATAATATTCTGTGTAGTGTATGTTTCTACAAACTTGGTAACTAGCAGATAATTATTCAGAAAAGACAATGATAGAAATGTGATTGCTCAAAAAATAGGTAAATGGAAATGGCTTCTTTTTTTCAGGCAGCTATGCAACAACTGACCCAGCTTCTATCAGAGGACCTCAGAAAAGAAATCTATGAACTCTGGGAAGTAAGCTTGCATTCTCTTAATTCTGTGGTAAAATTCAGGGTGACCCAGTCTCTTCTTCCTGTGTACCTGTGAAACTGTGCCATCTCTTATTTTGACCTCAGAAAGCTGTATTCATTTGCTTAGGAGATAAAGCTTAGTGGTATGAGTCAGGGTCATTTTACAATCCTTGTCTAACAGAAACCCTGGACTTTGCCAAAATAACCAGTTTCAGCCTCTGGCCTCTCAGAGTTCCACGTGAACCTGTCCAGGGCTTGGTTTGTACAACTGAAGGAAGGGGTTTTTACTCTACATCTAGCTCACTTGGATATAAATCTGTTCTTTTTTATTACGTTATCACTTTTGATCATATCTGGCCCTTTGAAGCTTTTAATACAGGAAGAAAATAATGGGAGCTGATGATGCCACAGATTATTTTCTGCTTTTTATACAAGTAATTTCTGTGGTTTCTGTTTCTTTATTATAAAGCCCATTAGGCTAAAATATTCAGTAGCAACTTAAAATGTTAGAGTAAATTAAAACTTAAGTTTGAACTTAAATATGACACAAAACATCGCTTTTCTACAAACATTACGGATTTCTTGCCTTGTGTACCTTAAAAGTTTGGATTGGAAAGTATCTTCTCTATTTGAAAGTGATTTCACTTTTTTATGTGAACTCATGCAGTTAATTGATAAGATCCTTTATACTTGTAAATGAGGGATGATTAGATAATTTCCAGAACATTCAAGTTTATAATTACTGTGCTTCATCTTCTCCTAACATACGGTCGCATGAGGACAAGTGTTTCCACAACCTCTTGTTCACATGTTGCTGCAAACGAAGCATTCTGTTTCTTGGACTCTATGACCTGATTCTCTGTCTTATATTGATGTTCTTGCTTTTCCGCTTGGAATGTATTTAAATTCCAGATATTTGCATCTAATTTCTGCCTTTTGCTACGACACCCTGTTTTGGTTTGGTTTAGGTTTTTTTCCCCATTGTAGCTGTGTGGTGAACAGGCAGTGAGAATGGGTTCTCAGAGGTATTTCAAGATAAAAGGGGTAAATCACCATCATCAGATCTGGGAAATAATGTGTATACTTATTTTTACTGAGCACTGGTTCCTTCTCCCTTTGGAAGCTGTTATAATTGAGGAAAATGAGGTTTTGATAGGTAAGGTTAGTCCTATGGAACTGGTATTTTTCTTTGCTGGTCTCAGTCTTCTTTTATGATTGTATAAGAGCTGGTTCACTATGGAGTCAGTTCTTCAGCGTGTTAGCTTTTCATCATTCTCATTAACCATAATTTAATATATGCACACTTTTGATCATTTGGTCTTTGTTTCTACCTTCAGGATAGTTTATTGGCATTGAGTCTGCAATGCATTAGCATGAGTGCAACCCACATAACAACGTGGATAACCTAAAAATCTAATATTCACATGTAGTCCCTCTAGTCTTAAGTGAAAAGAAAGTGGTAGAAAATAAAAAGCCTCCAATCATTTGGGATGTTACTCTGCTCAAACACAGCCAGAGGCATTTCCCTATGATTTCTTTTGTGAGTGAAGAAAGTTGTGGACCAGAACTGAACATTGGTGGGGCAAGATCTGTTGATACTCTTAGCAAGTCCTTCCTCCACTGCTCTGCCCTTGTCTCTGCCTCTCTTTGCCTTTCAGCTTTACAAGGGCTGTTGCTTTGGACTGTGTTGCTGGGCACTCTGCAAGTGTAGTGTAGGGGAGAGAAGCAGCAGAAGGATGCCTCAGATATATTTTTGCTTTATAGCAATCCAGAATATGTTTGAAAAAAATAATAAAGTAAACGAGTCAGCACATTTTGGCTCTGTCGAGCTTTTTTATTCTCAAGTGCAAAAGCATGGGAGTAATTTTTAAAGGATGGCCTGTGGCGTTGGAAAGACTAGTTACTGTTTTTCCAAAGTGTGCTGTTGTTTCACAGTCTTATACACCTTTGGGGAAGAAACAGTGTTTACTTAAGCACCGTGCACACTTGCACATATTATAGCTGATGTTTCTTGAGAGTAATGTGAGCTGAGGTATGAATAAGATCCGGTGGGTTGTATGGCACAAAGAGGTTGGAAACAGATTGATACTCCCAATTTAGTTGCTGGTGGTGGGACCGACCTTTACAGGAAAACAGCCCTAGTTGTCCTTCTCCTGAAGTTCTCCTTTGTAATGCTGTCAAGAGTCTTTCATGGAACACCCCCCCCCCCAAAAAAAAAGAAAAATAGTAGAAATAGATTTAAGAAAATAAGAAGTAGTATTTAAGGCAAAGCTCAGGTTGAAAGGAAAAAAAGATATAAACATTGAAGTGAAATTGATTACTAAACTAACAATCAAAATGTAACTGAAAATTCAAAGTATTGAAATCCAAGTAGAATAGTAAAAAAAAATAGTAAAAAAATATAGTCATGGCTATTAAAATCTGGATTTCTGACTTCAAAGGTAAAGTAATAAGCCTAAGGACAGGTTCCTAATAGTATGTCAGACAAGGAAATGACTGTCACGCTTACCTGTGCTGGAGTTACAATGCCAAGATCTTGCCACTGTGATGACACTCACACCAAGCTGTTGTCTTAAGATGCAGAAAGGGATGCCATGTTCTTTGGTCAGTAGGAAAACCTCTTCCTGTACTTGTGCTGCTCTTATCTGCAGAACTGCTGTGAGTTCTTTGGATCTGGGAGCACAGATGGGCCCAGTGTGTACTTAAGACTGTGTCTGATTAATGGTGATGATGAATGGAGTCAGGCTTGCCCAGGGTATCGAGGTGATTGGCAACCTGCACAGAAAAAACCTTTTTCCTGGGGTTGATTTGTTGATTTTGGAAGTCAAGACCAGCTAATGAGACTTCACATGCAGTGTGAAAGAGAAAATGAAATGGCAAACCTGTCTGCAGTCATCACTGGAAGCAAATGACAGCAACATTGTTCAAGTTGACCAGAAATGTGAATGACTCACAAATATATACTGATGATGACTGCAGAGAGGGAAAAGATAGCATAGAGATTAAAGGACCTAAAGTCTGAAGGGGAAACCCCTTAACCACTCCCCTTCCTATCTCCTAGCAGAGACATAAGGACATAAGCAGCTCAGACAGATTAGACCAAAAAATTAGGAAGGAATGACAGGAGAAATGTAAAGAACAGCTCCATATGGAAACAGCAAGTGGTGGAGAAAAGTGCAAAACAGGTCTTAGACAGTGCATAGGCACACACTGTGGTATTTCATATTAGGCCAGGCCTCAAATGATCTTTATATGTAAAATATTATTAAATGGAAACCTATTGTTTAACTTGTATATGGTGCAGGGTTGCCTCCCTATCATCCCTGATTCAGCCAAAACAATTGGTATGTTTAGAGTTAAGATTATGCAAAAGAATTGTGGTCTCAGTCCCATTACATTTAATATAAATTTGGCACATACTTATTTCAAGTGTTTTTTTGAATAGTGTCTTAAAAACAAAGTGAAAGATGTAACTGTGCTGAATATTTATGGAGTGGCTTGTACTAATGAAGAAAATTCTTGATACATAAAGAGCTTTTAATACTCTGTTTCAGAGAAACAAAATTATGTTCATATAACTGCAAATCTTTTCAGGAATATGAAAACCAGTGTACTGCAGAAGCCAAGTTTGTAAAACAGTTGGATCAGTGTGAGATGATACTGCAAGCATTTGAGTATGAAGAGTTGGAAAACACACCTGGCAGATTGCAAGATTTTTATGATTCAACAGCTGGTATGACATTTGGGCTTTTTATTTTTCCTCTTTCATAAATAAAATAGATAAATTGCCTTTTTTTCTGACAGACAATTCAGGGCAAGTGAGAACTAGTTGTTTTACTCATTGCTCAAGTACCCTAAATATTTTGAGGGAAACTTAATGCAGTGTGAATATACCTTATATTTATCTATAGATAGATATTGAGCCTGAATTTCATTTATGCCAAATTCACTTTTTATTGAGAGAGGCTCAGCTTTCATTACACTTGCATGTGTTTAAGGAACTCCCTGAAACATCAGAGGGGGCACAAAAGAGACTTCAGCCTTCACAGAGCATCAGCTTGTTTCTATTTGGTTAGTGTTTTCCTGAGCCAGTGAAGTAGAATTTGTTATCTCTACGTGAGCTGTGGTCGTGTGTGACCTGCCCAAGGTTCTCATATGTGAGAACCACCTCAGTGAAATGGTTTAGGTGCAATTTATTAGGTGCTTTTATTCTATCCATTGTTTTTCGTCCTTTGCAAAATAAACTGATAGTTGAAAGGAGAAATAGGTAAAATAATAATATTTATAATTTTAGCAAGGGAGTTGAACACCAGAAGAGGACTTGTGACTAAGTCAGCCAGTCCTGGAAAAATCCTAGGGATAGGCAAGCTTGGGAAGAGGACTAGCAGTCACCAGACACTTCCTGACAAGTCCCATTTATACTTTAGTGACTCCTCAGGGAAAATAATAAGCTCTCTGAAAAATGTAATAATTTCATTAGGGAAGAAGGAAAAAAAGGACAACATGAACAAAGCTGGAAGACTTAATTTTCTAATTGACATCTTTGCCCTACTACCAGGATTCAGTAAACTAAACTGAGCTGGTGTCTGAGTAGACCCTACAGTGTACACCCTGAGTGCACCTGTAATTGCAGTGGTTTCCTGTAGCAGGATACATAGTATGGGATCATCTTGGTCAGGGTGCATCCCTTTTTCAGCTCTTAAGGTCTTAATAGGGCATAAAATACAAGCTTTTAGGTAAGAAGGGCTTTTATGGAGTAACTACTTTTACTCCATAGTTGGATCAAACTGGGAGTATTCACTTTCTTAAATAATTTGACATTTATTTTGAGCCTAAAGTGACATCACTGCTATTGTTCCAATGCCAGCTTTTCACATGTGGGAAAATGAGAGCCTTATGATTAAATTTCCCTTTCTTTTGTTTTGCAGGGAAGTTTTTTCACCCAGAAATACTTCAGCTTGTATCTCTGATTAACACAGAAAGGAATAAAAAAATAGCTGTTACATCTCATCCACATTCCTGAGGTGTGCCTAAATGCTGTAGCTATAATAAATATTTTGTTTTATATTCTGTGCATTATGTTTCCTTCTGTAAGGTCACTGATTCTGCCAGCAGATTTTTTTCCTGTGCATTCATTGCTGAGAATCCCAGGACCACTTAGGTACTAGCAGGGAGCATAGTTACCACCAAATCAGAGTTTGTGTCAAGGACCAAATATTTGTTTGGGTTTTTCCTTTTCATTTTTTTAATCAGCCTCTGATTAATGCAGTCGCAGTTACAAATAGATTCTCCACTGGGGAAATTCAGGTATGTTTAAAAATTAGCTGATTGCAATCTAACGTGTTCATGTAATGCACTGTGTGTGTCTTGTTCTGTGACTTCCAAGTGTGTATGGATTTAATTACCCTTCAGTGGGTCAATATCCACTCACTGCTACACAGAAATGAGACCAATAAGTATGTTCTTCTACAAGGTCTTGATTGAGCTTAGAGATGAGATTTCTTTTGAGCACATAAGCCTTAAGAAGTGATGGTGGATAAAATTGGTAATCTCATTAATTATATTTTCTCAATATCTTCATTGTTTCATAGAACTTTCCCACAGTTCACGTGTTGTGTCAAGGACTGTGCTGACATTTCCATAAGGCTTGTATTCCTTACTCCCCCTCACCCCTCTTGTAAAACAAGAGTTTTACAGACTCTTTGACAGGTAATGGATAATCACAGAATAGCTGAGGTTGGGAGGGACCTTTGGTGTTTGTGCAGTCTAACGCAGAAGCCTCTACACCTGTGTAAAACTGCTTCCCTTCTTCTGTAGAAGTACAGAATGATTGGGAAGTAAAACTGTAGTGATGGTCAATGCCATAACGAGGCCAAGTGTCTGCACAGCCAGCTGCTGAGCTGTGTGCAGCTGGAGATTAGGGCAATGTCATGATTACCAAGTAAGCAAAGTTGGCACCTGGAAAATTTACATGGTCAAGACCTGGAGCTGGCTTCTGTGTCTTCTACCTCGTGTCAAATGAAGTAGCATAAAACTAAATTCAATTGTCATCCAGTTTAAAGATAGGTAATGTAGCTGAGCACACATTTTCAGGCACCATGACTCAGGAAATGTTTCCTTTATGCAAACCTCAGGGGCCTGACCAAAGCTTGTGCAGTGTTCTGCAGCTGGTGCCTTTGGCTGGGCACAGCTGCTGGGAGCTCTTGCTTCAGGGGTTGGCACAGTGCACAAAATCTGCAGTGCATATTGGTCTGGTCCAGAGGAGATGTGAGATGCCTGCTCTGCTGGGAACCCCACAAGGGAGCAGTTGTGCCCTGTGGAAACCCTGGAAGAACAGGTTGTGCTTTGCTGAACAACAGGAAATTGGTTATTGGCAACAGACTGTCATACTGCAAGTGGGATGGAGTGAGGCCCACTGAGCTCCCTTCAGCATATTTTTTCCACCAAGATGCACACAAATTGTAATCTCTGTTAGTTTGCACTGAATGCTGAGCGTGAAAGAGCTACAGATGCATCAGAATACAGAACGGAGAACATTCTTGACAAACCAGAAAAGTGGCCTTGGAGAGATGTTTGGTAGAAACACACACAGCACAAGCGCTACCCTAAACAGGACCATTCCTTTCCTGCAATGGAGTAGGAAAGCTTCCCCATTCTGCAGGGGATCCAGGGGACAGTGTGAAACCCCAGTGCAGTGGTGCTAGCCTGAGAAATGGAGACATGGTTTGGGTGTGCATTGGGTGGGGTTTGGTTCTAAACAAATGCAACAGGTACTTTGTGTAAAGTGATATTCTCTTCTCCTTGCTGCTGCAATCCTGTGTCAGTTTTGGACACTGTATTGTAACAGAAACAGGAGTTAGTTGGAAGGAGATGGGAGAAGGTGTGATCAGAAAGCACGAGCTGTGATGACAGGTTGATAGAAAAGATAGCAAACAGTGGGGTTTCAGGCTTCCCAATGTCGTTCTAAAGTGCACTGCTCACATGTAGGAAAAGGCCCTGGACTCATCATCTGCAAGAAGAACTTGCCTCCTCCTATGTCTTTCTCCCAATCTGTTCATATCCCCATTGACCCTACAGCAAGTGGCAGCTGCTGTCGTGACAGTAACATTTAAGAATTTGTATGGAAGTGAAGCTTGCCTGGCCAGCCCACCTCCACTAGCACTCTTGAAATTATGCTCTTAATGAATGGAATTAAATGCAATTTACTGCTTTCTAGAAGTATTTTCAGTGTGTATATGTACATACATAAATAAATAAAATGAGGTCTAAATTAGTGCTTGGATTCCATGTTTTGACCTTGGTTTGGCTGATGGTCCTGCTTTAAAGGTCAGTGGTTTTGGACCTAGATGTTTTATACCATGCATTTCACTTTTATTGAACTTAGTTCAAGTATGTTTCTCCACTGAACCTCAGAATTTTCAAAACTTGGGCCACATTTTCATGGGGAATTTCAGGCCCAGAAGAAACTGAGCAGATTTTAAAAACTGTAGGTAAAAACAGCAGATTATGTTCAGGCAATTTACCTTGATATTCTTCCATGAAATAGCAAGGCTTATAGATGCACAGTAATCATAGAATGATAGGATGGTTTGGGTTGGAAGGGACCTTAAAGACGATGTAGTTCCAACTCCCCTGCCATGGGCACGGACCTCTCCCACTAAACCATGTTGCTCAGTACTACTAGTAACCACAGAATTAAATTAAAACATCACAAAGTGTAAAAGAGTAAGAGAGAAATTTATTTTTAATAAGAATATCAAGAACTTCATTTACACAAACTAAGTTGACCATTAATAGCTTACATTTTAAATAAATTCACATTTATGCACAAAACCGCATAAAATAAGCTAGGAAATTGTCACAAGAATACTAGAAAAGCATAGTTAGATTTGCATCCATGCTAAAAATCACACTAAAGAGGCATGTGATAAAAATGTCCAAAGGTAACTTATGTCCAGTAGAACATTACAAAAGAACTTTAAATTTTTTAAAAACTACAAAAGCCACAGGGGAAGGGGAAAATCACTTAAAGCCAAGTTTTCTCACAAAATTTTAAGCAGTATGTAATGTCAAAGTCACTAACACTGATTTGAAGCTTTGGCATATGCTCAAAAAATGCATCCATTTTCAAAGTAGTCAGGCTCTTTTCCATCTTGTTTATTGATAACATTGGGTTCACCTCAGTCTGGTGAACTGAGTAACGCAACATGCATACTGACACGTGCTCACTAGACAGCCAGATAGTGTCACAAACATGCTGCTCTTTCCTTAGAAAAAATGTTAGAAGAATGCAAGAAAGCATGCTGAATCAAAGCTGAGAGATGCCTGGCTCTTGGTGATTGAGCAGAGATAACACAGTTGGTGGAACTACATCCTGGAGCAAAGCATGACAAAATTTGACACCAAGAGCGAAGTAAAGTTTTTATTCATCCTGTGTATTGTGAGATGACAGGGTCTGTGCTAGCAGCTCTGAAGTGCAGGCTGAAGGCAAGGGCTCTCTAAGCTATGGCACATCTGAAGCCAGTTGTTGGGTTTGTATTCTTTCATTTAAGGCTGTAGCTTGACTGAAGCTTATAAATACCTTCCCTTATTTTTGAGGATAAGTTACGGAGGCTAAAAAATATTAGAGATTTCCTCCGCTCCACTTGATTTTGTAATTAACTTATAACGTCAAGCCTTACCAAACCACGGAGAGTGAGCAATGGTACGTATTTCTAAACTGAAACTTTTCCAGCCACAATGAACATCTCGAATCCAGAGCTGTGATCAGTTCAGTTTCTGCATGAATAACTGGGTGTCTCTTCCTGTCCTCCTTAACTCTGCCGAGTAACAGGTGGAAGGCGATGCCAGACTGCACCAGTGAAGGAGCAAAAATTTTTTGTGACAATAAGTGATTTTAATTCTATTAGGAAATAGATCATCTACTGAAACTCCCGAACAAAGGGCACCTGGTATGGCTGGTAGACAGCTGGTGTATGGGCTACTGCTGGCAGCTGAAGGCTTAGCACAGCTCTAGGTCCATCTGCCTGATGTGGCACTGAGAGGGGATCTGGAAACCAACACATACAAAAGAGCAAACTAAAAGAGATAAGAAACAGGGACTGGGAGACTGTTGGAGGCAAGTCACCTGAAAATGAAAACTATGTTAGCCACTTAACACAGAATTTAGTGCATTATAGCCAATGACTGGTCTATGGTTTTGATGATGTACAAAGTACCTGGCACTAAAATGGCCCATCTAAAATAGAAATAGGGAGAGGAAACATTTCTCCAACCCAAGGCCAGGGAGGCAATTTTCCAAAGCTGACAAAACCTTGTTGCACAAGTTGTGTGGTGAGAAAAGGTTGCAAATCACTGTCTGGGCAAGTCTGTGAAAAGAACAACGTGGAGCTCAGGAGGGCCTGAAGTTTAACACTGAAGCTCTTCTTCACTCTCAGGAACTCGGGTACCAGCAAGAGAGCTCTGAGCACTGGCATGGGCTGTAGAGCTGAGAACTTCTTCAAAGCTGCCTCCTGTGTGGCTTGTCCCACCAACCTTGGTCTGAAACAAGGCAAACAGAGAACAGAAAGTTCTTCTGTTCACAGTGAAGCAATTCCCATTTACATTCCACCCCATGGTCATTGGAAGGCTGGGAACTGTTCAGGCAGAGAACACGTGGGATGTTTTTTTCTTAGAACAACAGCTACAAAAACAGTCAAATAAAGCAAATTCTTTCCTCCTCCAATTTCTAAACTAGGCTGCCATTGTAAAATCTGCCAGTGGCATGTCTGATAACGCTTAAATGAACCAGTCCCTCAGCAGATCCCAGGCAGAACCCAAGACCCTACCACTAAACGCAGTGTGGTTATCTATGTGAGTAGCTCACTCTGGTTTCACTGTTTTTTCCAATTCTATGAAGCCTGGATAAGCGACAGGTATTAAAATGAACTGGCTCGATTTGCTGAGTAAAGTGGCCCATCCGCCTGCAACAGTAACACAGCTTCTCGCAAAATACATAAACTGTCCTGGGATCTTGGACAGCAGAAGGAATGCAGTAACCGAAGAACAAACCCAGCAGCTTGTCTCCT